CTCTCTCTCTCTCTCTCTCTCTCTCTCTCTCGCGCAAATGAATTCTTCTTCGCTATTTTGTGGTCTTTATGACATTTATGACAATTTGCCAAATAACGTTGCGCAAAACCGTTTCTCTTTGCTTCGCATCACATCGAAAATGTGAACAACGAAAAAGCAAATATCATAATCTCGAATCGAGCAAACGTGCACAAATTCCGTAGATTTTTAGAAAACGCAAATGAAACAGCAACTGATTTTTTCGTTTGCCGAATTTAAATTTTGATGAATAAATTAACAATAATATTTCACAACTATATATTATCGTCGAATAAAAGAAAATGATTGGGAATATTTCAACAAAAAATCAGCCGCAAAATCAAATTATAATGATGCCATTTCATTGGGTATCATTTCGGAGAGATTGTCTCAAAACACATCGTCTGCACGGTTTGGAATCAATTTGTCCGGCAGCTAAAGTTCAACTATCATAATTTATAGGCACACTTTATTTTTGAGCGAACCGCAAAACGGAATTATTTTTGACTGAATTGATTTGTTGATAAATATGTTAGCTGAAAGAACCTAACGACGTTTTAACTTTACGAACTCTTTATTCCGAAATGACGAACACACGCTACATTCAGCTGACGTACGAACGGTCTAATATGAGTATCGTCATCAAAACCGATTTTGCACCGGCTGCTAACGTGGCAATAAACTCTATTTTCATATCTATGAAATCAAAGAGATGAGAAATCGTTAAAAAAACACATAATTCTCACGCTGAACGACCGCAATTTTCAAATTCATAATTTAACGCATAGAAAGAAAGCGAAAGAAAATGAAAAAAAAAACAGAATGATTGAAGAAAAAAAATTTTTCCTAAGAATAAACCAAATTTATTTACGAATCTGAAGTTTCATTTTGAGCTCCCTCCAGTGAATGGCAATGTTCTTCTAAAAAAAAAATCCGATCATTCGTTTATCAACACGAGCGCATGTCAACCACGGTAATTTGGTGTCTTTTGTTGCAGATTTACCCAACACAATGGATCAATTCATGAGTTTTTTTACCTCTCTAGCTCTCAACAGCGAAACAATGTGTTGACATTTGTAGAGCTATTAGCAATGAAATTATCCAATTGTACAGCACATTCATACTCAAATATAATTGGGTATTGTGACGGTTGGCCAAAAAAAGAATTTCGGTTTGAATCGCTTTTTGTACGTCTTCCAAATAACCAAATTCAATCGAACCAAATGTTCTATTGTGATTCCGTTTCACTGTTTGCATCGCATACTCACACACACACACACACACACACACACACACACACAAGCACAGTAAACATTGAGCTACTTTTTGTTGGCGGCGACACAAACATTTTGACATATGTTTTGTGATGCAGCAACCATAGTAAACAATGTCGTTTGAAAAGCAGTTGTCAAGCAGTAACCATCGTTGATAAAATAAACAAAATGCGATGACAACCATGGAAACAAATGAACCATTTTCTAGCAACCGAAAATAATTAGTTGTCGAACTGAATTTGAAACACAAGTTCGCATTTCGCGAGAAATAACAATTATCAGAAAAATATTTACATTTGTACAAAAAATGGGTTCTTCTGCTGAAAGTGAACGTAATTTAGAGTTGGAATTGCTGTGTAAAAATATTAAAAGTAGCGAAAAATCGAAGCGCCAAATTGCGTTAAAAGAACTCTTGCAAATTGTATCGAAACAAACGAATGATGCGGATTTGAAGAGGTTACTTGATCAAACTTATTTGCATTTGGTAAAATGCTACACGGACCGATTTGAATCGACGCGTTCACTGGCTATTTTGATTGTAAATGAGTTGTTGAGCCGCTTTGATGGACGCAACGAATTCTTTTTGGATTATATTCTGCCAACGATTAGGCGACGCATTGGTCTACCGGAAATTGTTGAGGAGAGTGAAGAAGTGCAATTGCAATTGCTGGAACAAGTGGGCCGAATCGTTGACAAGTTTCAGTCGAAAGATGAAGATTTCCTCATGCGAGTTTATAATGATGTCATGGATATTGTGATTAGAAATCTATCCAATCAATATGCAAACGCACATCGACAATGCTGCAAAGTGATTCAATTGCTAGCCATCGCTACACCCAGTTTTTATATTCGAGCTGAAAACTTGGTCGATCCATTAATCGCACTGTTGTGTCATCGGCAATCAGCCACACGGACAACAGCTGTTGAAACGCTAGGTGATTGTTTAATGTTTGATTTATTTTTTAATTGAAATATCATGTTAACGACTCAATCTTCATTAAAAAATTTATTGGCCCGTTGATGTTTCCATTATGCCGTCTTTGTTCTTCGTTTCCCATTCTTTTTTCCACGCTTTTGTGTACAGACACATTAATTTATTTTATTTTTATTTTTTCATTTCTTTCGCATTGGAAAAGGCATCGTTGGCTTGTATATTAACAACAAAAACGATAAACTTGTGCAGAGCATTGTTTCGATTTCACCGCTATTAACCGACTCAGTGGCCGCTGTTCGTCGCATGTGCGGCATTGTTGGCTGCAAATGGCTTATGCAACTTCGCGATCGATATTCATTCTTTGAACGAATTGTGCCATTGGTTTTATGCTGGTAATTTATTTTCTTGTATTGTTCTAGGTTGATGTATTTTTTTGGTCCGTTGAAAATTAGCATTCTGTGGCTTTATCGGTCGATTTTTGTATTGAAACATTGTTTTTTTTTCATTTTTCATCTTCTCGACTTTATGTCAACTTTTCTTTTGTTTGATTTCTTTAGTTGTTTTCAATATTCTTTCCAATTTCTTCATTTTACTTTATTTTTCTCTTTTCTCCTCTTTTTAAAAATGTTCTTCTTTCCCAATTGAATTTCCACTATCCATAGCCTAAAAGATGACTTAGCCGATATTCGTGAAGAGATTAATTTGCTATTCATTCATTGTGGTGATCAATATTTCGAAGAAAATGAAAAGGAATTACAGCGCATTGAGTTGATCGATCACGAGTACCCTTGCTCAAACTATATCGAAACGGTAGCTAAAAAGCGTCCAACCCTCGGATGTCGAGCGCTAGTGCAAAAAAGTCTCCGTATGATCAATATAATCGTCAAAGAAATTCAAGATTGGAAAGAGCCCGTTCGATTGCACTCCTTAAAACTACTCTGGGAAGTGGTTTTATTTGCTGAAAAAGCCTTCACCTGTAAATTCATGGAATTGTTTCCCGTCTTGGCGAAGGCATGTCAAGATGATGAGAATAGTGTCGTGAAAGAGGCAAAACGTGTCGCATTTTTAATGGGCCAATTACTAAATTATAGCGATTGGATGGAGCACGCAATGAGAGATCTCAAGAAATTTCCATCGTGTTTGGGAATATTGCGATGCTTCAATTCGTTATTTGCTGGCGCTGAACTTGAACAGAAGCAAAATAGCATCGAAGAAATTGCAAAACTTATTTCCACTTCGGAAATGTGTCACAATTTAAATGAAGTTCATCAAAGTGTTTTGCTCGATCTCATCGAACAAATGGTTAAAATCCTTTTGGATAAAGTTGAAATGAACGAACGATCTGATATTGCGTCATCGTCAAATTTACTTGCTGACGAAGAAAGATACTTATTTGAAATTCTGGTGAAAACAATCGCCCTGTCAAATGCACACGAAAATGAAGAAATTACAAACCGAGGCTTGCAGTTATATGAACAATTTTGTAGAACACCCGAGAATCGTGTGGTTTTGCAAGGAAAATACACAAAGGCCATTATTATTGGTATTGAAGATTTGGATTGCGAACACTCGGAACGATCTGAACGAATTGTCATGCTGTTCGGATGCATAAAATTGTGCGGCTTTCAGAAAGAGTACTTCGATTCAACTCAATCAGCCGTTAAAATGGTTCTGGACAACAGCACGGCAAACGCACAAATTAAAATTCTTTCTGGTGTTTCGATGGTGAGTGAATTGTATTAATTATATGCCATTTGAATCGCTCAGAATGAACTTTTTTCCGATTTTTTTTTTCACCAATAAAATGGCGTTTTTCAGGCATTCCTGGATTATAATCACGAGAACATGGAAGAAGAAGCCTTGGATTTATTAACACGTTTCATAAAAGATATTCTGGAACCAGCTTTAGTATGGAAAGCTGGTCGAAATGCGGAATCGATTCGTGCGATGGCAATTCAAGCACTTTGTTCCATTGGATACTCTTGTACTACTGAAGCTCGTGGAATATTTCCAAGCCTAGCAAAGCATTTCATTTCATTGGTTGAAGATGAATTGGCAATAACCAGAGCTTATGCGATTCGTTGCATTTTAAAATCCGGACCATTTCCATATGAAGACTATCGACAACTGACAATAGGTTTGAACATGTGATTGGAATCGTTTAAACAATTTCATGATATGATCCAATGATTGAAAAATTACAGATATTCTGAGCCGATTGGATGATCCATGCGCAAATGTTAGAAGTCTTGCCATTGAATGTTTACCGTTGCTTGAAGTAGACCGCACCGATGATTTGTTTAGTGAAACCAGTTATTCGACTTTGGCTGAAGCAGTTATTTCTCGTTTGTTTTTATATCTCGATGATCCTTTCATTAAAATTCGTCCGATTTTATTGGGTAAAATAATTATCAGAAATTTTATTATTTTCCACCTTTTTGGAACTCAAAAGAGCTAATTCTCGAGTTCAAATTGTGCATTCTTTTTAGATTCACTTTCAATGATGGCAAAGAAACACCCGGTTGTGTTTGAAAACGAAACCAATAAGCTACCGAGTAACTACCTATACAACGATGTTATCAATGAATTGAAGAAATTGCGTCTAGAATGATAGGGAGGGAACAAAACAAAGGCAAAAGATGATAGGAAAGAAGAACTAATTCATATCAAATAAGAAAAATTGAATAATTACCATAAGAAAGAAAAAATGGAGCGAGAAAAAAAAACAGAATTGAAGTGTGAAATACAAAAAATCACATTTTTCATTGTTAATTTAACAACATTACACATTTGGCCATTGAAAATACTCCCGAATAATATGGTATGCTTATAATTGAAAATATTAAAATAAAACCCAGTTTCAATTCAAACGAATCCAAGAATTATAATTATCTTATGTCTAACGTACCGTAACTGCGATCCATTGGTCTTTTGGTGTGCGGATAGTGCCGGTAATGTTTTCACTGAATTTAACCGGTTTCGTGCCATCGGGTACTTTGACGCTGAATGCTTGCAAAAATGCAGTTGTGAATAGAAATAGCATATTCCGTGCGAAAGTCTCGCCCGCGCAAAGGCGTTTGCCAGCTCCAAACGGCAATGAAATGTCTTTGCTCAAACATAACTTTCCCGATGCATCTAAAAATCGTTCTGGTCGGAATTTGTATGGACTATCCCAAGCGTTAGAGTCTTTCATGGCTGCATCAAGAGCAGGCATTACAATCGTTCCCTTTGGAATGGTGTATCCTAAAAATTTGGTGTCAACCAATGCTTTGTGTGGCATTCCAGATGGTACTAACGTTTCAAAGCGCATTATTTCCCGGAGACACGCTTCTGTATATGGTAAACTGCAACGAAAGAATTTTTGCATTCATTTTCACATTCAGTTGAACGGAAAGTTTTTTTAAACCACAAAGAGAGATTAAACTAACTTGATGCGATCATCCAACGTTGGTGGTCGTCCTTGTCCAACGACATGATCAATTTCAGCTTGAATTTTGCGCTGTACTTCAGGCTCTTGGAAAATTTGCTGGAACAAAAATGTGATTGTCGACGGGATTGTTGTTAAGGTTGGCAAGGCGAAATCAACACATGTCAACACCATTTGGCTATCTACAATTCAAACAGACACATATCTGTTATTTTTTTCTTTTCGAAGGTGAAGAATGACGAAATATGAAATTACACGAAAAATGTGTTGTTAGATCCGAAGCATGCGCACGTAATTTATTAATGTACATATCGACAAAGTGTCGTTCATGGCTTTCGTCGAAGGTTCGAATTTGTTCATCAACAATTTCCTAATAAATAAAATGTATGAGTAAATAAAGCTGAAACTCGGTAAATATTCAATGGAAAAAAAAATACTTTGAAATAGTGATACAGGTCGACCGAACATTCTCTACCAGCTCTGTAGTCCGACCATTCGGGAAAAAATTTCGCAAAACTTGGGATGATACTGTACAGTTTTCCATAGTCATCCGTTTTTCGTTGGAATATAAAGGAATTTTCAGTCGCTCTGTATAAAAAGGAATTTCATTATTGATTGGAAAAAAATTCTTTATGAGGATTAAAAATTACCTGAAAAGATCATCCATTTTTTTCCTCGGAATAGTCTCATTCAGCAATGTGGCCAACAGGCAGTTCCCAAACAATGGACCAATTGCATACGGCATCAACATTTTACCATCTTCGAAGTATTTCTTTTGAAATGAACAGAATTTGGAAATTGAAGCCATTTTTTTCATTTGAATTCCAAATTAGAATCAAAAATGATAAAAAGATAAATTCAAGCAAATGTAGAAAATAAACCCGAATCGAAATTACCTTTTCGTGTGAAAATTTCGCTCCATTTTTTATAATATCAATGTATTGAGAAATTTGGATTTGAATTTCGATTTCCAAGGAATTAAATCGTCTCCCGAACCCAAAGTCCCTCAAATATCTCAAAGCGAATCGTCTTTGCTCATGCCAAAGAGCAGAATCCGTGAAAAAAATTCCTGCATTTTTGAATTATGTCCCATTTTAACGAAAGAAATAAAAATTAATTAAATTTATTGCTTTATCATTCGATTCATACGTTCTCACCATGCAAATCCAATTCAGGATGCCTCATCCTACCTAGAATATTATAACCATTATTGAAGAGTATTTATTTAAAGAAAAATCACCAAAAGTCATTTTATCTACCCATTAAAATATCGGGTCTGCCATCGAAATCACGGTGATTCAAAACTTTTTTCACATTTTCACTGTCATTCACAATAACAACCGGATGTTGGCCCAAATGAATCCCAATCACAGTACTTTTATAAAACTGACAAATTCGATTGACGGCATAATGCAAGTCCTTGTGATTTAACAACAGCATGAAAATATAGCTTCCAAACCTATGGGTATTTATGTGAGTTGAATCAATTGAATTTATCTGTTTCATTGCAATTTTGTTACAGATTCGCACATTCTCTGCGAATTCTTTGCAAATTTTCCACTTCTATGCTTTGTTACTGCGAATGACAACTAATAAGCTGCCACAATTTTGGATTTGACAAATTCGCGAAGAATGCGTAGAATGTTGGAAAGGATTTGAAATGGGAATGCATTCGAATTTTGTGAACTCCGGTCAATTTGCGAATAGATACATTTTTATTTACCATGGCACTTTCGGTGGTCCTGAAATGAACGATTTTTTTATTATATAATTTTTTTTTTTACATAATTCAGCTGCAAATTGGTCATTTTTGATTGATGTCAAATTCCTTTTTTTTGCAAGAATTTTACTGACAATGAATTATTTTGTTTCAAAAACCATTTTTCAACGAAATAATTTCAATTTACCCGGTGGAAAATTGGGTGGTCTCGAAAATAGGTACGCATATATATTATATACTACAACCAGAAAGAAAAAGTTGGCCAAAATGAGAGAAATCATTTTTTTTTTAAACTTTTCATTCACTTTTCCCACTGGGAATGTTCAGTTTATTCACACAAACAGTTTAGCACTGAAGCTCAAATCAAAAGAAACTGGGGAAACAACAGGGAAATGATCACCTCTTATATTGTCCGATTGACGAAAGCACTAAAACAATAAGTATAATTTAATTCAAGATTGGATACCTGTAATTTGCAGGTGCAACCAGTTTGTCGGCTCGTGCTAGCCAACGATATTTCGATTATTCACTTCAGTAGTGATATGATTTTATCGACGATTATTTACGAGAGATACTATTCTTCTATGTTTTGAAAGGAACGCTTTATCAAAGAGGATCTTAATATCGAAATGATTTTTTTTAACTTTTTAAATAGTGTTTTGGGATCCTGCATGATCAATAAAATAATGATAAAAAATAAAGCGCAAATAAATTGTATTTTCCAAATTTGAATTTCGAATACCAAATGATTGATCAATTTATTGTATGAACTTTTGAAGAAAGTGTTGTAATCGAACAAATATTGATATTAATTATTAATTTTGAATAAATCGATTCAAGTAAACACATGGGCATAAGGAATGAACAATCTATTGATATCCCATTTGACGTTGATATTTCGATTTGTAAGTGCTTGTTGGTTTTTTTTACTTTCAAAGTAATACTTTGTAAGCACTCATACTGAACTCACGCGACTTTTGACATGCATCATAGTAAATATTATTATCTATATCAGAATTGATTACGACTTCTGATTGCCTGCCGATATATCTTGGGGCGAGTTCTCTGTGCCGGAAGTATTGCAACAATATGTGTATTGAGTAACAACTTGAGTTGTAGATATAAATTTACATGTAAATCGATTTGTATTTTTCCACAAGTTGAGCACATCGCAACAAAGTAACTTCAAGAGAATGAATTGTACAAACGGGAATGTGTAAACACTATCATCAATTTCATGAGAGTCATTCAACGTTGACTCAGATTTTTGCTCAGAGAACGACAAATTCAACTACAACGAATTTTGCATTGAGATAGGCCCAACACAAAAAGATGTCATTCAAAAAACTGTTGAATGTATTCAAATACAACACATGTTCAATGAGTTATTGTCTTTTGGATTTGGTTCTTTATAAAAAGAATAATTTCGTACTTTGCTTGCAATTTAATCTGTGTGTATCGTTCAAGAAGCAGCAATTGCAAATTCATCACACATGATGAGTTACGATAGCATTTATTCAGGCGTAAATTATATCATGGTTGATGTCATCAATATGTTAAAAAAAAAATTGATGATGAAGTGAACTAAATTTGAAGGAAAAAACGAATCACCTTCAATTCAAATTTAATCGCTATTCTAAAGCTATACGTGTTCCAATTGTATGGTTCTGATTCATGTGATGGATGAAATGTGTTTCGACTCGATTGTTCATAAACCAATGACAAAATGGTTATTTTCCTCGAAATATTATGGTTTCATTTATTTGGAATGGCTTATTTCACTCTGATTGCTCCTTACAAGTGTGAATAATTCAAATAAGGTTTGAAATTGAATACGATGATTTATCGATATATGTGGTAAATGCTCGTAATTGTAGGAATCTGAAGAATCAAAGGATTGTCACAAAGGTCTAAACGTGAAAAATAAGAAAATTACCGAATTTTCAATTGATTTTATAATTAATAAATTGGTTCTGTTGAAAAATAACACCGGTCTTTTGATTGCCACCTTCCTTTTAAAACCTCAATCTGCAACTTTAAAAGAGTTTATTTATTATTTATTCACTGAAGTTGTTGGATGTTAAATTTGGAGTTTAACAATTGTAATGGTTTTTCAACCCTCTAATGCATTAATTTTTCCCATGGCTGGGAGTACTGGTACTTGGTTGATTTTTTGTCATAGATAATTAAAAAAAATATTCATTATCTCGAATTCCTTACGGTTTAGCGTAGCCGTGCAGTGTTTCGACTACGCGGGCGCGTAATTGAAACTACGAAACTTTTTGACAGCTCAGAAACACTGCGAAAGTACATGCTTTAAATTATTATTAGTGCTATATTAAGTATCGCCAGTTTTTTATTGTTAATTCCATTTAAAATTTATGGTAAAAATTCAAATTTGTTCAAAAAATGTTTTAAATTCAAGCGATTGCAAAGTAAACAATCTCAGACGTTTGATCCAATATCTCAGAATCGATTCGCATTAGTCAAATTCGTATACCGAAGAAGTGCATCCTTAACCCTTTAATGCATTAATTTTTCCCTTGGCTGGAAGTACTGGTATTTGGTTGATTTTTGGCCGTAAACAATTAAAAAAATATTCATAATCCTGGATTCTTCTTGGTTTCGTCAGGAAATGCGATTGACATAAATCAGAGAACAATCAAATCCATTGTTTAAAAGTGTCAAAAATGTGTCTTATTTCGAGTTCGAATAATTTATTTTGTCAAATTTTTGTTTTTGCACACATTCTTGTTTATAACTTTACAATCACACTACATAGACAATTATTGCCAAAGACAAAAATAAAGAGAAATCATTGACGAATAAAAAGCTAATTACTTTGAAGCAATGTGATCCGATGTACGGTTTACGTTCTACAGGCGTTCAAATGTTGCCCGTCTAGAGGCGGTTGTATGCATTAGAGGGTTGAAGAAACTCGCCAATTACATAATATACACATACAAAATTGAATAAATAAACTTCTTATAGCAATCAAATTAATTTTATTTAATTCCTTCAAATTTAAAAGGTAATAAAAATAAAAAAATAAATTTAAATAATCAAAAATATATCTTATTCACTGATCGAAGTTATATGCACATACTCAAGCATCTAATGATACTTAAGCAACTCTCTGACATGTACAATCGCATAGTTAATGTCAATAGTGCCTCCTTAAGGAATCAGCTGTTGATCAACTGTTTTTCACATTATTTTCTATTTGGTACATAGTATTTCGGTTTGATTTTATTGCGTTAGTGAATATCTAACAAAATCAACTTTAAATCTATGGATAAATTGGAAAAAATTTCAGTTATTATGGACAACTTCAGACCGCGATGGTGTCGCGAAAATTCATCACTTTATTCCAAAAACTCAAACACGTTTCATAACAACGAACATCAATGAAATGTCAAAATACTACGAACAATGTTTTCAAAAGTACTTAATTAAGTGATGAGCGCGTAAATGTGGAGAAGCCACTAGTAAAAAATTGCTTCACTGCGAAGGTAAGCGGTTTAGTCAGGAAGTGCGATTGACATAAATCAGAGAACAATCAAATCCATTGTTTAAAAGTGTCAAAAATATGTCTAATTTTGAAAGAGAATGATTTATTTTGTCAAATTTTCGTTTTTGCGCACATTCTTGTTTATAACTCAGACAAAAACCGCTTGATGTAGACGAATAATGCAAAAGACGAAATTATAGAGGACACCTTAGAGAATAGAAATGCCTTTTGAAGCAATGTGATCCGACATACGGTTCACGTTATACTGGCATTCAAATGTTGCCCGTCTAAAGGCGGTTGTATGCATTAGAGGGTTAATTGAATGAAGTGTTAATGTGTCTATAGACAAGAACTCTTTTTGAGAAGACACTTTTATGGCAATATTCCCAGTTGAACTATCGATCGTTCATATAAAAAATAAGTATTCAGGATGTGAAATAACTTTATTGTTGACCAATTATATCAAAAAGAAATCTGGAAGAACACTTTTGAGTGACACGTTCTTTGCACACTTTTCTAAGAATTTTCATTGATAATTATACGTTTTTAATTTAGAACAGCCCGTTACTAATTGTATTGTTTTTTTCATGCAAGTATTTAATATTATAGTGAGTCGGTGAAAGGTATAAATAGACCGATTTCCAGTAGTTCTTCATCATTTACCAGTTGTCATTGGTTCGTTATTGATACAAAATTGGTTCAAGTGTTAGCTTTTATTCATCAAAATATTAAGTTTCAGTGCACGCCGATCAAATTCAACACAAAAATGAATAAAATGGCGAAATTCAATGTACTTGAATTTAATCAATGGATCATGAGCGAAGTCGGACTTTATTCTTATCGTTTGACCGAACCGACCAACGAATTTTTCACGTCCATCAGTAGCTACTACCATATGTTCATAATATTTGGTTTTAGTATCATATCAAGCGCGATTTACGTCTATTTGCATTGGCCGAACTTTGAACTGATTTTTGAATCAAGTTTTATAGTTTGTGCAAATATAGTAGCATTCGGAATGTTCTTTAACACTGGACTTCAAATGAAGAAAATTAAGATTTTGCATCTCAACCTGCAAGAAATAGTCGATAAACAAGGTAATTCTATGGTTTTTCATAAAGTAAATTTATTTTCATTGATGTAAAACTATGATAACTTCTCAAATCCTCCAATCAAAATTAGACCGTGATGATGAAATATACGCAAATTATTGGAAAGCCGAGCAAAAGTGTCGCAAGTACACAAAAGTGATATGCAGTTTCTTCTTTTTCCACGTATCGCTTGTGTTCTTCGTTTTATTGTATTCCATTTACTGTATTTGTACCGGACAATATGACATCACGAAATGGACACTTCCATTCGTCATCAGTGTTCCTTTTGATACTAATACATTTTTGGGATGGTATCTTCTGTGTTTCATTCAATTGAACATGGCTGCTGCATACGTTTCGGCCATATTGTCCCCAACATCGTACTTCGTTGCAAGCTCTGTGTACATTTGTGCCATT